AAAATTAGAGTTATAACATGTCAAAATAACCCCAAAAACATGCTTGAACTAAGCTAATTCAAACCACAAAAGCATGCTACTTTGTAAGGCTAACAAGGCTAGCAAAGAGGATTTACACTACAAGTGCAATAAGCATGCAAGAGGTGACCAAGACAGCCAAAAACAGAGTTATGGAAGGTCTGATAAGTCACAAAAATGAGCCTAAACAAAGCCATAAAGAAGTAAAAACACATGCTCATTTGATTGGCCATCAACACTGGCAAGCAAGACAAGCGGAGAGGGGACCACCTCTCCTATTTGGGCTCTCAAAACAGGGTTTTTACCACTGAAAATCCTTTGGATTTCAGTGGTTCTAAGGCCAAAAAGAAGTTGTTTGAAAAGTTTGAAAGTTAGCTCACAAGGCCTTACAAGCCAAGGAGCAAAAGGGAGGACAACCCCTTAGCCAACCAAGGCACAAACCAAGATTTTTAGGATTGAAAAATAGAGGAAAAAATAGAGGTTTTTTTAGTTCAACACCACCCAGAAAATAGCCCCAAAGTAGTTGAAAACTATGGCAAAGCTAGTATGCAAAATAAGCTAATAGGGGTGAGTGATTACCTTTGGAGCACAGCAGCAAAATGGCCTCTTTCTTGGCTCAAATGACCTTCTATCAGCCCAAAAATAAACTCTAAGGGACCTCAGCCCATAGATATGCAACCTTGATGAAGGATGCCTAGGCAAAATAGAAATATTTCTCTACTTCTATGCACCAGACTCTACTTCTATGCACTTCTATGCACCAAAGAGCAAGAGAGAGAGGAAACTAGAGAGAGAGAGACAGAGATTTAGCTCTGGAAATTGTAGAGAGATAGAGAGATTTTAGTGTGAGAAGCTCCCAAACTTGTTCAAGAAGTTCTAACCCCTAAAAAATATGAGATATAGGTTCATATATAGCAATTCAAGAGCTTTTGGTAAAAAATATCTAAGTTGGGACAGCTAGAGCATGCTGGAAACAACTGGAGATGAAATATCTTCAAAAAAATCTGAGTTTGGGTCACTCTTGGCGGATCAGCCATCTTTTGTGCCGATCTGTCACTTATCTACTACTTTTTTGGCCGATCGGCCAACAAAATCTGCTTTTCAGCCCAACTTTAAATGGCCATAACTCCTTCATATGAACTCCATTTTAGGTCATTCTTGTGTCCAAATTTAAGCCCCGGAAGTAAGCTTTCCAATGGTAGTATCCTTGCATCAAAATTCCAACTGTAAAAAAAGGTATGCATGTTTTGGTGAAGCCGCTCAGTTTCGGTCCAACAGGAATGATGCCCAACTTCGACCAACCATATCTCTCCCATACGGACTCGGCTTTAGGAGATTCTTCAATGAAAAATGAAGCCCCAGAAGTAAGATTTCCAACGGTGGTGGCCTCATAGCTGAAATCCAAGTGTTCAAAAGGATAGGCTTGATTCAGCGAGGGCTGCTCGACTCTCTCTTAGCGATTCATGCCCATCTTCTTCTCCAATTTGGTTTCTTCCCTCTTCTCCTCTTTTCTTCAATTCCAAACCCCTAAACAAGGTGTTTTGAAAAAAATTTCAAAGATTTCATCTCTCTTTCATTCATTTCCACTTTGTCCTTGCTCAGTTTACCGAAAAGTGCAACATTTGACAAAATGCGAGCTTTAGAGCATCGTAGAAATTTCATTTCAAAAATATTTTGAAAGAAAGGATTTTAAGGTTTAAAAACCATTCAAAGTAGCTTTGGTCCGAAATAGGGTGTAAGGTTTGGATTTGACTCTCCTTTTGCCGAAGATATTGAACTTTTACTCTGCACGTCTTTCACCATCAAGTAAACCATCAGTAATGCCCAAGTCTTAAGGGCAGTTAAAAATTGGGTGTCTACACAATGTGAAATAGATAAACACTAATAAGTCCAAATCTGACAAATCTTTTGGAAAATCAATTTTGAATCAAAATGCCAATGAACTGCATTACCAAATTTCAAAGTCGTCACCTAAATATTTTTAGAAAATTTAAGAAACTCGAGACTCGTGCCAAAGGCCACTTATCCGTCATCACCAAAGTGTCTTGACTCGGGAACTTAGGTATGAGAGGGGAAGGTCATGAATTGAGCACCCCACTCACCAGATCAAAGATCGGCCTCTACTAATCATGATGTGGTGCTTATTCACATTATCTGCTCTTGTTCCGATTTATTAGGCTAATTTACTATGTGATGCACACAAGTATAGACTAATTTGTAAAAGTTAGAACACTTTGATTTTATGTTTGTTTGGAAGATGTTTTGAATATGTATCACTTAAAAAAGTGATCTCATGTATACATTACTCAAATTAGCCCAATTTAAGCAATTAGCCTTCATCCATAGGCAGTCAAACAGGTATATCAACTAAGCATTTAGCTTCATGGTAATCATGTTTATCATAGCAACAATCGCACGCATGTAATATGTTAAAGCAATAAGTGCTCACCTAGTACTTAACCGAGGCGAGCCAAAAGAAATCAAATTGTTAGAAAAATGCATGTTCTAATATGCAAGTGCCTAATGCCATACATGCAAAAATGTAACTAATAGGTTCGATTTTTAATATGTCTTGTGAATCAATTTGATAGCATGCGGTAGCGCATGTATTAACTGAAGTAATAAATGATAATGTTGTTAGAATGATGAACCGAACCTTTATGTATGCAAAACAATGGATGCAAATCATGAAAAATGCTAAATGAAATATGATGTAATATGCTATCTATCATAAGCGAGTAAATAAAAGGGAGAAAGAACGGAGGTTGGAAGACATACACGCATTATTACATATTTGCCCTCGCATAAGAGGGTCCAAATAAACGAACTAGCTAAGCTAATTATTACAATGCCAAAATAACTAGTTAAACTAACTAATTATTACAAATCCAAATAAAACTAACTAATTATTACAAATCCAAATAAAACTAACTAATTATTACAAATCCAAATAAAACTAACTAATTAGTTACAACACAGAAATAACTAAGTAACTAATTATTACAAGTTTAAAGAAATTACACTTGATTAATTACAACACACTACTATTAGCATAAATTAACGAGCCACGGGGAACAAAGAATTGTCCATGCATGAATGCAACGTTCCACCTGCAAATGCCCTCTATTTTGTTGCCAAAATGTTTCTGTTTTGCAGTCAGAACATGGAATTGTTTTTGCCTCAGCCTCTACTTTATTTTGTAAGAAAAATGACACTGCCTAACTAAAAAAAGGTGGCTGACCGGCTAAAAAAAGTGGTCGGCTAACCACTATTTTGGGGTCCTCCCCTACTGCAATAGAAAAGAAATAGAGTACAAACAGAGTATTTTGAGGAGATGTTTGTCCACCCTGCTTCTCCTTATCATCAAACAGGTCGAAGGAGGGGTGGACTTGATTCGCAAACCATCAATCGACGCAAACTCATTGCGTGATCATTTATGCATCAAGGGACAAAATCTTAATAAATGATAATGAAAGACCCACAAAACCTCCTCTCTATCATGGAATTGATCAAGGGAAATAGTTGACCTTGAATCTTCGAACCATTATCATCACTAAAGAGTATGTGATGGTTTAAGATTCAACGGGGTTCAATTAACGTCCGATTGAACCGAAACTTGATTTTACTATCTTGTTACCTCTTTTAACCAATTTTATTGTCTTTTTTAATTACTTTTCCATTCTTTAATCATTTTAGTCCAAGAATGAGAATTAAGTCCACCAAAAGGAGGAAAGCGTCGAACGAGAAGTTGTTTTGGGTATGAGAGAGATGTAATGCCCTAGTAATGAACCTCTAAAGAGATTAAACCATTTAGCATGAAAGGTCTCTTTCTCAAGCTTAAACAACACTCAGTTGAAACAACTCTCAAGAAATGAAAAGGACAAGAAAGGAGGGAGAGTGCAGAGATGATTGTAAATGAACACAAGCATGGAAAGTATGAAATAAATGATATCAACTCAAATAGGTTGGTGTCTAAAGCCTAAACCACCAAACCTATGAGGACCACTATACTACAAGCCTACTATACAAAACATAAATGAAATTAACACACTAAAATAGCCCTAAAAACAGTAAAAACAGTGCTGAAATTCTTATAGAAAAGCTTGAAAAAAGTTAGCTAAAATGATGAGGAAATGAAGCTAGTAAACAATCATAAGGAAATGAGGCGAATCCCTCCATTTTTGAGACTTCAAAACTACATTTTCAACCTCTGAAAACCTCTGAAAATCAATGGCAAAAAGTTGAAAAAAAGATGGAAAACACAAGGACAAAAGCTTGGGAAATAAGGTTCAAAGAAGTGTGGTTAACCGCTCTACCTTGGATAGCTTTAAGCCACAAGTTTCAACCCATAAAAACAGTCCAAAAATAGCAAGTAAAGATAGGGAAGAAGTAGTGTAAAGAAACTAAAAGTTATACCTCTTAAAGAGAAGTAACACTTTGAGTTTCAAACCAACAAATTCTCACACTCAAGTGCTAAAATTCAAGTTCAAGAACCTCAGCAAGGAGATCTAAAAATTTGGTTTATGAAATATAGATAGAAAGTGTATATGTTGAAAGATAGAGGGAGAGAAATATTTTCAAGAATTTTGCACTTCACAATTTTTCTAACTTAATTTTAAGAGGGGTGGTCAAGTATATATAGAAAAATATGTTAGATTTTCAGAAATATCTGTATAGACACAATTGGTGCAATGCATATTCCTGTGGAAACAGCTGGCAGCAAAATATCTGTTCTATCGGAACAACTAGTCGGCCGGCCACTAGTTGGCCTGTAAGCCTCTGAGTGGTTATACTTGAAAAAATACTGTTTGGTCCAAAAGTTGTGCAAGATTTGTAGGCTTCTAAGACTCAAAACCGAGACTTCCTATTGAGGAAATTGAGAATTTGTATAGCGTATAAATTCAACATCGGGTGAACAGTTTGAGGCGCCCAAGTCTACACGAGTTGCATTCTAATTCTATAACAAAACCATAAATTATTCATTATTCCAAAAGTAATTCTTTTGTTCTTCATTCCCATAATTCCACAGCATAGTATTACATAAAAAAGAAAAGACAATTACATAAATAAAACCACATACTTGTAATACTTAAAAGAGGACTCAAGTACGTCTAAGAATGTTAGAGAATCGGATATAAAAGACAAACAAAGAGGTAGGATCTTTTGCCGCATGTGAGTCCCAACTCTCTATCCGATTATAATTCTGTGAAATTCTTGTTTGCACTTGGCACAGTTCTTCAACAAAAACTGGGAGGAAGTTGACTATTTGTTCCACAAGTCAGAGAGGGTTGGGAGCTTGATCTCACCCTTGCTGGAGAGGGGAATGGTGAAATTTCCGATGAGCGGAAGATCAAGGGTCAGACCCAAATCCAACTCGTAATCTATGTCCCAATCTGCACCTATATCTTTTCCCAAAGTCACCAATGCGCTATGTGCCACCTTCAAAGCCACGTCCAAAATCGTCGTATCTTTTGCCATTAGTGACCCCGGGTCGGGCATTGTACCCGATGCAATAACCCTACCACACAAATCAAAATCAAAAACAAAATAAACAAGCAAATCAAACCTATTTGTACAAAAATCATTCAATAATTCAAAAGGGCACCACCATTAAACTTGTCCTGGTTGATTTCCAAATTATTTATCAAACAATGAAATCCAAACGAAATAAGTATATTTAACCAATTTTTAGACAAAAATAGAATAATCCTTCAATATATGATGATTTTGCCTAAATTAATCTTAAAATAAGAAATCACTATCCTAGAATGATAGGCCACTATAATTTTGTGACATAAATATCATCTCACGTGCAATATGATCCACACGTGATCATTTGATGTGCACATAACCTAATAAAAATGTTTTAACATTAGAGTTAATTTTTTTTATAATTGATTTAGGGTGGGTTTGGGAAGGGGGTTGGCTTTTTAATTTTTTTGACCTTTTTTTGATTATTTTAGCATGGGTTAAAAAACTTAGTTTAGAAAGGATTTTTTAACTTTTTTGACCTTTTTTGTGAAAGAATAATGTAATAATTATGAATTAGATGCGATTTTTTGTTTGTTGTAACTAAAATAACTTATTTTATCTTTTGTGACTATTTTAACCACAAATCTTCTTACCAAACGGTCCCTTAAGAGACTCTGAACTATTCATATGTTCCCCATCTAAAATTTAAAAAAATAAAAAACCTATTCGCATATAGATGTAATACTTTTTGAAGTATTCACAAATATTCTTCTATGATCTCTAACACTTTGTAAACTAACATTTCAAATTAAATCGATCTGAGCTCACTTTTTAACAAATTAAATATTTTTTTTTTTTTCGGATGCACTTATTCACAAATTCGTTACTTTTTTGAGGTGTATGTCTAAAAAATAAAAAAATAATAAAAAAAATATTTAAAATATTAACAAAAATTCACTAAAAGCAATTCAATTTTTAAAAAATCAATGACAAGCAAATAAGGTTAGGTCTGAAAGTTTTGGGGATGTATGGAGAGCTTAAACATGGATCTGGAGAGAGAAGGATGGAGAAGGTAAACCTGCCGGTGCTTTTGAGAGTGTAGGAGATCTGGCAAATGGGAACGGAGTGACTGTAAGGGTTTTGAACTGAGATCTTAGCGTTGTATGTGACTGCATCCCTGCTTATACCCTTCAGATCCACGTCCATCACACTCGCCTCCGGTTTCTTCATCTCCGCCACTTTCTCCGACACGAAGTTCTTCGCCTTCTCCATCAGATTCGCCATTCTTCTTCTTCTTCACAACCTAAAACCTTGATTATTACTACTTGTAAATTATTCAATACAATACAATACAATACAATTTACAGATTTGTATGAATTGGAAAGGTTGGGTTGGGGTGTGATGTGAGAAATAAATATAGACACTTTCTTAGATTTATATAGAAGATTTCGGAAAGGGAATCGGAGGTACACGTGGAACGTTGCTTAATTTTTCTTGTGGGTGCGATTTTTTTGGGAAGTGATGACTCGACTCTTGTCGGTCGAGATTTTCGTGTTAGCTAACGCGTTTTAAGATCTTATCCTTCTCTTCTACCATCATCACAAGAATTCTATCTACAATGATGTAATGTTAGGTAACTTAAAATTTTATGATTTAAATTGTTTAAATTATTTAAAACGATATCGTTTTAATAGATTTTGAGTGTAAAATGACGTTATTTTGACAGATTTAAACTATTTAAATCACAAAATTTTAAACTATCAAGCATTTTCCTTCTATCTATCTACTACCCTTTCAATTTATCCCGCATGAAATTATGAATTTGTTATTGAATTTATGGATTGTGAGACAATAAATTTAAATTATGAGATGATAATTTTGAATAATTAAGTTTAAATTTGTAATATTATTATTTCCAACATAATAAAAAGGAAACTGCTAAGGGATTGGGGCGGAGAAGTATTGTTGGGCCTATTGGGTTTACTTTTGGATCTTGTTTCGACAATCTGAATCGTTCATATTTTAAGATTCGTCAAGTACATTATCCATGCAAAAAAAATCAAGTCAATCGAATAACAATAACCACGCGTTTGAGTCATTTTTGTATGAACAGTTCATTTTTTTACCGTTCATTTTTTTCATACAAAACTAATCTAAACACATAGTTGTTGTTATTAAATTGATCTAATTTTTTTACATGAATGATATACTTAACGAATTCTAAAATATAAACAGTTTAAATTATCGAAACGAAACTAAAAAGTGGGCCCAATAAGACTAACAATACCCCTCCAGTCCAAGAGAAGTCCAATACCTACTAAAGAATTCAAAAGATTTATTAAAATTTCTACCACATCTATGTAAAATATTTAATATAAATTTTGATAATTTTTTTTAGAATCTCTAACATTACTCTAATAAAAAAGCAAAGGTTAACCATGCTTCATCAACATTGTTTAATGTTAAGAAAATATATAAAAAAAATCTCTTCAAAATATATAAAATATTAAAAAAATATATTGAATTCAACAAAACACACCAAAATACCTACCAAAAAATTACACATTAAAATTAATAAAAAATATAATACTTTTTATAAATATTTTATCTTTTACTTTTACTTGTAGGAACATAAGTTTTTAGTAGGACCATATGTAGCATAAGTTTCCCTAATAAGACTTATAAATAATTTTTCCTTAAAAAAAACTAATAATAATAATAAAAAATAAATAAAAAAATTGGGGTTCACTTTGGCTCATAAGTCAACTGTTGTATCCATCAATGCCAATTTATAGAAGGCAACCCCACGGGAAGATATTTTGTGCATTAGGGATTATTCAAAAAATTTTAAATAAATATTTTTTCTTTATTTTTTATAAAAAAAATATGTAAAAAAGATAGAGAAGTGATTCTTATGTGCGATTATATTTATTATGCTTAATAACCCCTAAGCTTCGGGCTCAAGAACCAGCCCGGGCCGAATCCTAAAAATATAGATTTTATGTTGGGTCAAAAGGTAAGGCCCGTGACTCAAGGATGTTTTGTCTGGGAAGTATGTTTTTTGTTTTTTGTTTGTTTATTTTATTTTTGGGACTTATTTTCGTTTTTAGTAAAAAAAATTTTAAAAATTTCAAAAAGTTTTAGGTTTCCAAATTCGACAAAACTAATCAAAAATTTATAAATTTTTTTAAAAAAATTCAAACAATATCCAGAAAAGATAAAAATAAGCCAAAATAAGTTATCTTTTTTGGTTTATTTTCGTCTTTAGTATTATTATTTTTTAAATATACTTTTTAGATTCGTCTTGACAAGAAGAATCGGAAAAACTAAAAAAATTGACATAATTTTGAAAAAAAAATCACTTAAGATAAAAAAAAATGGGCAAATTACAAACAACCCCTCGAGATTTGGTAAAAATATAGATTCCCCCTGAGGTTTGAGAAATTACATCCCACCCCCTGAGGTTTATATTTTCATAACAAATTGTCCCCTGAGATTTTTATTTTCATACAAATTCCCCCCTAATTTACCCTAATTTGTTATGAAAACTAGGGTATGCCCGTGCCTAAAGGCACGGTGAAAATACTGTTAGAATGAAAATGTAATTGAATATAAAAATGTTGGGTTAAAATGTAATTTATTTAATTTGTTGGGAAAAAAAATTTGAGGTGAAAATGTAAATAGATGATCCGTCTGGTTGTGGATTTTCAAATGAATTTTATAATTAGATTTTAAAAACAGTTTGTCAAACTCAAAATTTTGTTTGGTTGTATATGTTAAAAATTAAAAATAATTTTTACAAATTTAAAATTCAAAACTTACTTGGTTTTAGAGTTTCCAAAAATAGTTTGTAAAATTTTAATTTGTATTTTATTATTTTTAGTGAAATTTTTAATATTTTAATCAATATTTTTCACTTTTCAGATCCACTCAATTTAAATATTTTGCATTATAAAATTTAGAGAGATGGAAAAATTAAAAATAGTGATGACACAATTATTACCTTGGTCAAGAAAATGTGAAAATAGTGATGACACAAATGCAAACAAAGATCATATCACAAAATATTTACTATTGTAGTATTTTTGTTTATGTAACCCACTTGCAATTTATAATAGAAAATAAGCATTTTATTATCCTGGCCAATAATAGTACTCAAATAAATTTCTATATCCACATTTTTTTAGATAGTGAGTTTTGGTTGATATAAAGAAGAAAGATCTCATAGCTATAGTTTTGCATCAATTTTAATATAATGGTTAAAATCTACCAATTTTTATGGTTTGGTGGTCAGTTTATTGCGCAGAAAATTAAATAAATGAAAAATAAATAAATAAATTGTATGCTACTTGGTGAATAAATCAATTTAAACATAAAATTTTTAAATTTATAGGTAAACGAAATAGTGAAAAGTAAACACATAAATTCTACATAAAATTCAAGCACAACAAAAGTATAAGATTTTAAACAAACAACAAAATGTAAGTCCCATAACACAGAAACATCTATATATGCCAGCCAATGTTCTGCAATAGAAAAAAATAAACAACAAATTAAGCACACCAGCCAATGGCCTGCAATACAAAAAAAATGCCAAATAACAATTTAAGCACACCAGCCAGTGCTCTGCAATACAAAAAAAAATTCAAATAATTTTAAGCACACCAGCCAATGTTCTGTAATACAAAGAAAATGCAATACCCTTCCTGATAAAAAGATATACGGAGGCAAAAATTCAAATTCAACCAAATAAAAATATTATTAGTTTTCTTTAACCTAATTCAAGAGTATATTAGGAAGAAAAAATAAAAAAACAAAAAAGACTGTATCACCTAGTGTGTTACATTTACAAAAACAAACTCATAGCATAAGTCAATAATTCAAATGAATATTATCTAACATACATCTAAACTTAGTTATAAATTTCACATAGATAAAAGGCTTTACAAAATTATTGTAAGTAATAAATTTCACATCGATCGGAAACTTTACGAAATATGGATCGTAGCTAGCATATGTACGCTTTTCACAAAAATAAATATGAGATTCAAATTTGTTCTTTCTTAGAAATCCTAGGAGCGCCTCATCACTTTCCAAAAAGCCCTTGTATCAACTTGTATGTATCCCCAGTAAGGAGCATGCACGACAATCTACTAATTTACAAAAATAAAAAAAGTTAGTATGTTTCATCAAGAAAATTTATATAAATATATCAAAACACTTTCAAATTGAAATTACCTTGTTACATCTCCATCGAAGCAATCCAGTTGTATTTATCTTTTTGAACTCCATATATTTTTTAACTCAATCCTACAAAAGTCAACACATATAGTAAAATATTTTAAAAATAACAATTTGTAATCAATAGAAACAAATTTATCAATAAATAAATTGTACCTTTTGATAAAAGTGGTTTGATCCATAAGTAACACTATAACAAAATTTCAGGATAAACAATGTTTGTAGTAGAATCTGGCTCATCATTAGGAAGGAGGACACTCATACGATCAAAAGATATGCATCTAGATAGGGCCACGTACAATTGCCCATGACTAAACATTAGTGTGTGCAAATCAACTCCAACAAATTTCACAGATTGCCCTTGAGATTTATTAATGGTCAGGTGGTCGTAGGCTACTTTTCGTGGTCGAAGGCCACTGTTCCCGTTTGGAGTCCAGTTTCCAATTTTCGAAGCCGTTGGTCGTGTGCCTCGGTTCAAGACCGCTTAACTTTCTCTGTTTGGCACGATTTTTGTCACACACCTTGCTTCCTCTCTCTAGAGGGACCCTGTGGCCTGGGAGACCACCTTTGTAGTCGCACGCCACTTTCGTTGCTTAACAGCCTGTTTTTGGGGCATCCGGCTGCGCGTTTTGACCCCCGAACCCTCGTTTTGCATCCGTTTTGGTTTATTTTTGGCATGGACCTTGTTTTCCCCATCGAAGCAATCTAGCTGTATTTTTCTTTTTGAGCTCCATATATTTTTTAACCCAATCCTACAAAAGTCGACACATATGGTAAAATATTTTAAAAATAACAATTTGTAATCAATAGAAACAAATTTATCAATAAATAAATTGTACCTTTTGACAAAAGTGGTTTGATCCATAAGTAACACTATAACAAAATTTCAGGATAAACAATGTTTGTAGTAGAATCTGGCTCATCATTAGGAAGGAGGACACTTATATGATCAAAAGACGTGCATCTAGATAGGGCCACATACAATTGCCCATGACTAAACACTGGTGTACGCAAATCAACTCCAACAAATTTCACAGATTGCCCTTGAGATTTATTAATGGTCAGGGCATATGCCAATCGAACTGGAAATTGACGTCTTGTCATTCGGAAAGGCATTTCTGAAGAAGACGGTGTCAAGGATATCCTTGGTATGAATATCAAATTGCCAAATTTTTCTCCAGTTAAAATTTGAGCTTCAATTATACGAGTATTACATCTAGAAACCATCAATCTTGTGCCATTGCACAGTCCATCTTTTGGTGCAATA